TGTGGAGGGCGGCACCTCGGGGAAGGGGCATATGTGTGCCAGGGTGCATGTGTGGAGGGCGGAAGACAGACCGGTAGGAATCAGTTCTTCCAGCTTTTGGGTCCTGGGGGTTGAACTCAAGTCATTAAGTTTGGCAGCAAGAGTCTTTACCCACTGAGTCGTCTCTCGTTGTTTACAAATACATTATGGTTTTGAGAAGTCTCACAATGAGGATGTATGTATTTATGCATTTTGTTTGTTTCTTAAGACAGGGTTTCTCTGTGTAACCCTGCCTGTCCTGGAACTCACTCTTGTAGACCAGGCTGGTCTCAAACTCACATAGTTCTGCCTCCCAAGTGCTGGGACTAAAGACGTGCACTACCACACCCAGCCATATGTTTTTAATTCAGGTGTCTAAAATTTATATCATACGTAAGCTCTGTGTGTGTGCATGTGAAAAATTCCCCGCCTTTTTATTTATCTTTGTGTTTTTCAGTGCTGGGGGAGGCAGCTAGGACCTTCAGCTTCAGTCTGAGTCCATGCTCTCACCACTGAGCATATCACCAAACTCTGTGACACTTCTTTGTGTCTAGAAGAAGCTTTGGAGCAACCTGGCCCAATATGATTTCCCCAGTAAAGAAAGTGCTCCTTCTGTGCTGAATGGCGCTGTGGCCACCAGCGCTTGAATTGAGAATAGTATGCCGGAGGAATTGAAATTCATTTGTGGGCCAGAAAGACGGCTCAGAGGTTAAAAACACTGGCCACAGGCCAGGCATGGTGGCACATGCTTTTAATCCCAGTACTTGGGAGGCAGAGGCAGATCTCTGTGAGCTTGAGACTAGCCTGGTCTGGTCTACATTGTGAATTTTAGGGAATTCTAGGACAGCCAAGGCTATACAGAAAACCCTATCTTAAAAAAAAAGAAAGAAAGGAAACTGGCCACTTCTTCCAGTTGTAGGGGATCCCATCCTCCTTTCGACTTACAGGGCAGTGCATGGATATGACACAGATATACATGCAGACTATGCAGACTAAACACCCTTACACATCAAATATAAATTTAAAAATGACTTTAAAAAATAAATTATTTATTTATTCTGCAGTATTGTGATGAAACCAAGCCCTTGAACATGTTAGGCAAGTACTCCGTCATTGACCTACACACCCAGCACCAGGAACCAACATTTTAAATTATTTTGGTTTTGGTTTTTAAGCCTGGGTCTTACTGTACTATGTAGCCCAGGCTGTCTTTGACCTTTACAGCAGTCTTGAGCGCTGGCTTTACAGGTGTCTGCCATTTTAATTACCTTTTGTTAGTATAGCTTTGGCAGCAGCTTCAGGAAGTGGCTAATATGAGGGTGTGTTTTAATTTATTCATTCTGTAAACATCAGGATATGGCATTCGTTGAATAAAGTGATCCCCTGATCGAGTGAAGGCTGTGTAGATGTTTGCCACTCCTCTTTGCCCAAATAAGATCACACATACCCCTTTATTGTTGACTCAGGGTTTTGCTATGATGTTCAGACTGACCTCAAGCTTAGAGGCTCAGTGCTTCTCTGGTCTTAGCCTCCCACATAACTGGGACTATGGGGCTATCACTGTGTCCTTCAAGGTCACTGGTACAGGAGCTTGAACCCTGGGTCTTGCTCACCAAGGTAAGTACTCCAGGCACTTTCTTGCTCAGCTGCAACCTCTGTCTTCTTGACAGAAGTACGAATGAAGCTAGTTAGTGCAGAGGCTCAGGACTAGTACACGTGTGCACACACCACCTCTGTGCTTCTGACTGAATTTAGGGCACACGCTAGTCCGGCACTGACCACCAAGTGTATCTTCAGTTCAGCAGAATCACTTGTCAGCCCTACCTAGCTGGAATGAAGCTAAGTTTGGGCCCCTCCCCGCTACACAAAAAGGTTATAGAAATAAAGCAACATTGCCTTCACTCTTGGTGGCTCTTCTGCCCACTAGTGGCCAACTAAACCTTGCTTCTTTTTGGCAAGGAACAGCATCAGAAGGCAAAACAGTACCTTTGAGTCCTTGAAAGTCCTCTCTCTTGTGTGGATGCCATTTTCAGTGAGTTTGATAGAAACAGGAACAAAGACAACAGATAGCATAATTGTGTCTCTTCGTGAGCTAAGGAAGCCTCTAGAAGGGGCTGGCGATTCAGAGCTGTGGCGTTTGATTTACGCATCAGTGTTTGCCCCTCCAGTGGATGCCTGTCTGACTGCCTTGTCTCTCCCTCTAGATGGTATCCTACTCGTCCGTACTCACAGCTATCAGTAAGGTAAGGGCCATGGCCACTGAGGAGCTGTGTGGGAGGGAACAGAGGTCCTGTAGCACAGACAAGGCCCACCACCTGCTCATGTGTCCCCCTGATGCCTCTGCCTGGCATGGTAGGCTTCCCCTGGAGAGAGGAGGTCCTGGGAATTGGGAACTCACTTCCACGTGGAGAGGATGCTAGTCTTCAGCCAGTGGCTGGAGGGAGGAGAAGTAGACCTGCGCACACAGCTGTTGCTTGTGAGACTTGGGGTTGACTAGGCAATGTTGTAGCCTCTCCCTTGTTCTTTCCCCAGTTTGATGACTTTTCCCGGGACCTGTGTGTCCAGGCTTTGCTGGATATCATGGACATGTTTTGTGACCGACTCAGGTAAGAGATGGGTGAGGAAGCTTAGAACATTTCATTGTTCTTTCAGTACTGAGTCCCATAGTCTAGAAGACAGGTTTGAGACCAGCTGCGGGTTCCCATGTTTCTTCTCTCCACCTGCCCGCCCCAGCTTCTCTATCCATTCCTCACTTCTCTTTTAGGAAGAGCAGGTTTAAAATCTTGTCTAGTGGAAGCTAGCTGGACTAGGTGGCTTACGCAGGATACTGCCAACTTTCCAACTCTGTCCCCTTGTAGGGGAGTGCCAGAGACTCTGGGGGAACATTGGTGTGGCTTGGATTTCAGCTTTTGGAATAGATACAAATTTTCATCCTTTTCTGGGTAGTTGCCACGGCAAAGCAGAGGAATGCATCGGGTTGTGCCGAGCGCTTCTTAGCGCCCTCCACTGGCTGCTGCGTTGTACAGCAGCTTCTGCAGAGCGGCTCCAGGAAGGACTGGAGGCTGCCACTTCAGCCACTGGGGAAAAGCAGCTAGCCTTGTGCCTGCAGTGCCTGGAAAAGACCCTCAGCAGCACCAAGAACCGAGCTCTGCTACACATCGCCAAACTAGAGGAGGCCTGTACGTCCCCTGACCCCCCCTGCGCCCTGCCTGCTGCTGCTTCTATGGCTGGTCCTTTGATTGAGAGGGGAGAGGCAGGATGCCATCCCACTTCTTTCTAGAAGGATCCGAAATCATCCCACTTCCTTTTTTCTCTCCCCATAAGCATTGCATACATCCCAGGGACTTGGGCAGGGTGGCACCCGAGCCAATCAACCAACAGGTATTTACTGAGCATTCTTGTGTGCCCAGCACTGTGCCAGATGCTGGAGGTGGGGGAGGGAGGGCTACCAAAGGAGCATGTGGCAGGGTCCCTGCCCTCAGCAAGCTTACACACTGGTGGGGAGTAAGACTCGAATGCCATGCACCTGGAGGACATTCAAGGACGAGACAGGCATGTCGCCTGCTCTTGTCTATCTCCATGTTACTCATCTAGAAGCAGATGACGCAGGTGTGACCTGGAACATTCGGTTAAACTCAGTGCCTGTCTGTCAGGACTGTTACCTCTTAACTCTAGTTCTGATGTTAAGAGTTAGACCCTTCCAGAGCCTGAGAACAGGCAGATCTATGGGAGGGAAGGTTTTCAGCAACTGAGGCCTGAGGCCCCAGTCTTGCTTGAGCCCCAGTGGCTAAGGCCACCTAAGGGTCTCCTGTTTTCCATTGACATGGATGCTACAGTGGGTGACACCCATGTCTTCAGGGCTCAGTTGGAGAGCTTGTTAGGGGATTAGTCTCTATTTACCTCTCAATTGCTTCCCCAGGGAAAAGTCCACAGAAGAGCAATCGCTGTGTCAGAATGGGTTGCACTGACAGTTTTTCTTCGTCTGTTTCTTGTTAGTGTTGGCAGTGCCTTTGCCTTCTGGAGCACTTGATAAATGTTTATTGGTAGAAAAGTAGATGAATACTTAATGGACCTCAGGTCTTGGTTGTCTCTTTCTTACCTCTGTGCTACATGGAGGTTAATTGGCTAGCTGGTGCCATCATTCATCATCTGACCTTTGGAGCTGTAACTAGGATAAGTGACTAGCAATTAAACGCCGAGTGTGCTGTGGCCATGAGTGTGGGCATTTAGAAGTGAAGCCAGTGGGCTGGATCAGTTGGGCATGCTGTTAAGAGAGCAGATACCCAAGCTATGTTGGCAAGGTGTTTAGAGCTAGCTTCCCTAGAGCGGACCTGATTGCTGCTGTGAGACTGGCCTTCCAGGGTGGCCTCTGTCCCTGCCTGGCCGCTGGACTCTACCCCACCCCATTGCCGTGTATGGATAGTCCCTGGAAGTCAGGCCCTTGCTATGGTTTCTAGGGTGCTCTGTCCCATGTTGCCTGTTCCCCTTGTAGAAACAGTGCATGCTGCCCTCAGGACCCTGCCTCCACATCCTTCTCAGAGAAAGCCTTGCTGTGTGGTTTCATGGGCCCAGGGTTGCAGAGTTTTTGGCCATGCCCCACTTCTCCTTCACATCATGTTTCTGCCTTGCTCCTTCCCCGCCAGCCTCCTGGACTGCCATTGAACATTGTCTTTTGAAGCTCGGGGAGATCCTGGCCAATCTCAGCAACCCCCAGCTCCGGAGCCAGGCTGAGCAGTGTGGCACTCTTATCAGGAGGTTAGGTTTCTGGGGAAGATGGAAAGGTGGGGTACGTGGTCTCTTCAGTCCCTAAGCTGCCCCTGTGTGTCTGTCTGTCTCTTTAGTATCCCCACCATGCTGTCCGTGCACTCAGAGCAGCTGCACAAGACTGGCTTCCCCACCATCCATGCGCTGATCTTGCTTGAGGGCACAATGAACCTGACTGGGGAGATGCAGCCCCTGGTGGAGCAGCTGATGATGGTGAAGCGCATGCAGGTGGGTGTGGCCAAGCAAGGTGGGTGGCCATTTAGGGCAGGAGGGAGGAGCCTGGTACTTGAGAGGAATCAGTTTCCTCTTGATTCCTTAGTGGAACAGATGCTAGTCCTGCATTTTTGTCATCTGACCTCACAATCCTGGTTCTGAGCACTGGCGCTGGAACCCTGCTGTGTAGTCAGACCAGCCAGTCCCTAGAGCCTCTGGGAGGGAGCCGGGATCTGGGCAACCCCTCACACCTCCTTCGTGGTCTCTCCACAGCATATCCCCACCCCTCTTTTTGTCCTGGAAATCTGGAAAGCCTGCTTTGTGGGACTCATTGAGTCCCCCGAGGGTACGCAGGAGCTGAAGTGGACAGCTTTCACCTATCTCAAGGTACTTGGTGACATGGGACAAACAAAGAGAAGCAGCAGCTTGCTGGACCTTTGCCCCGGGTGTCCCCTCCTGGCATTTAGTCCAAGCTGCTGAGTTTCCAGCGCAGGCCCCACCTGACTGTTTTCTCTATGTCTCACTGGTTTAGCTCCCAGGGGCTCTGCTGTTTGTCCAGCTCATCCTTAATCAGATTAGTTCAGGGCAGCTAGGAGAGCCAGGGAAGCGGCCCTGACCCCCTCTGAACCACGGCTCTTCCCTTGTTGAGGTGGCAGAAATGGGAGATCCCATGTCCTGTAGGCCAGGTGGCGGCAAGTGCTTGAGTACCCATGGGCACTGTCAGCTGCTACTCCAGTGCCCACAGCGGGGGGAATGGGGCGTGTCCTGTGCTGAGAGGCAGAGAAAGGACATTGATCTTCCTCCTTTCCTCCTTCATGTCCTAGATTCCACAGGTTTTGGTGAAAGTGAAGAAATATCTTCATGGGGAAAAGGTGAGTTAGAGAATAAGATGAGGGTACGGGAGCAGATAAGGATGGACATTTGTGGGTGGGTCTCTCTTTTTTTTTTTTCCTTTCTTTCTTTTTTTAAGACAGGGTTTTTTCCCCTGTAGCCCTAGTTCTGGAATTCATTCTGTAGACTAGCCTAGCCTCAAACTCACAGAGATCCACCTGCTTCTGTTTCCCAAGTTCTGGGATTAAAGGCGTGCACCACCACCACCCAGCTAAGGGTGGGTCTTTTAGGCTGCGGCTGAGTGGTAGTGTATTGTGCCCAGAGGAAAGCTCTGTGTTCCTGTGAGCATCAGTGTTCTTCCTTGCACATGCCCTAGACCCCTGTGGTGGCCGAGGCTGCTTGCCTTCCGCCCCAGCAGGCAAGATCACCTGCAGCATAACCATGTGGAGAGTGGTGCCTCCATCTCCCCTCCTGGTTCCTGGGGCTAGTGGGGTCGCAGCCTGCTTCCTTGCTTGCTGAGCAAGGTGTTGATGTGAGCCTGCACTCAGGCTGGGCTGGGGGGCGGGGGGACTGGATGATGTAGGACCCAGGAGGGAGTTTCTGAATCTTTGCAGGACTTCACTGAGGATGTCAACTCTGCTTTTGAGTTCCTGCTGAAGCTCACGCCCTTGTTGGACAAAGCTGACCAGCGCTGCAAGTATGAGCCCTGGTTCACCTGCTTTGCTGGAAGGTGTTCCAGGTCCTTCCCTGCTCTCTGTGTCAGATGGGCTGCAGGAAGCTGCAGGAATGGGTGGGAGGCAGCAGGCTCATAGGTGCTAACACCAAGAGCCTTTCTTCCTTTGGGTGTTTGAGTTTTCCTCACCGTGAAGGAGTGGGGAGACTGTGCAGACCTTGTACCCCTTGTCTCCAGCTCTCTGCTCATTTCGTCCTTTGGCTTTCCCTCACAGTTGTGACTGCACAAACTTCCTGCTCCAAGAGTGTAACAAGCAGGGGCTTCTGTCCGAAGTCAACTTTGCCATCCTTGTGGGCAAGCGGTATGTTGTGAGCCCCTTGGGCTGCCTGGGGCCCCTTGATCTCCCTCTCCCTTGCCAGACTGGTTTCTGGTGTCTTTCCCTTCCTCTTTGAAGTCGGAGTAGCAGTGACTGAGACCATCCTGGGGCCAGGGAGCAGGACCATGGAGCAGAGTTTCATACTTGGAGCTGCTGCTCTCTGACTCACCCTCGTTTGTGAGCAAAAGACAAAGAGAAAGCCTTAGTCTCCCTTTCATCTTAAAGGATGGGTGTAATGATAACGACAGATGGAAATGATCGTGATATTGGGTACGCTTTCAGTCATAAACTTCATCCCAACTCAAAAGAGTCTTTGTTTTTTTTGCTAAGGGTTAAGCTCAGAGCATTGTGCATTTGAGGCAGATGCTGGGGGACTGAGTTACACTTCCAGCCCCAGGTTTCTTGTGCTTTCGTTTCTGAGGTTGGATGAGAGAATTTCTTTCTTAAAAGGCAGAGTCTGATTATGTAGCTCTGGCTGGCTTCAAATGCAGAGGTCCACCTGCTTCCACTTGAGTGGCTTGAGATTAAAGGTGCAAGTCATCACACCTAGTGGATTAGAGACTGTCAAGATATTTTTCTTAGCCATGTATGGTAGCTCACACCTATGATTTTTATTCTTGAAAAGCTAAAGCAGGAGGATTACCTTGAGTTCAAGGTCACCTTGGGCTTCAGTGTGAGATCTGTTTCCAGAAGAATAAGAATCTTCTTTGTTTCTATTTTCTTCTCTGGTTGTGTCCATAGCACTGCAGATCGGGACCCCCAGCTAAAATCGTCAGAAAATGCCAACATCCAGCCCAACCCTGGGCTGATCCTCCGGGCAGAGCCCACCGTCACGAACATCCTCAAGGTATGTGCACCTGCCGTGGACTCCCTCTTCTTTCAGCCTTTTTCTGCTTCCAGGTAAGTAAACCGGGCCACAGGTTGCTCTGCTGTCTGGCTTCTATGCTGGGCTCTTTCGGGAGTGGAAAAAGGAGGAGGCCACTGAAAGCTGGCGTTAGTTGCCCTTACGCTGTGTCTTAAGTGCTGGGGTTGGTGACTACAGACACCACCCCATGAAGATACAGAAGGGAAGCTCCCAGCCAGATCCTCCCCCCACCCCAGTGTAGCTGAGCCCAGAGCTCGCAGTGAGCAGAGATTTCTGCAGCGATTGTCCTGTTGGGACCAGTAAGTGACAGGTTACTGTAAAGGTGCAGTATGCCTGTCAGGGGGCACATACAGAGAGAAAGTGTGGCTAGGCTGTGTCTGGGGGTCTTCAGTGTCCTTCGCTGACTTTCTGTCCTGTCCCCAGACAATGGATGCGGACCACTCCAAGTCCCCAGAGGGGTTACTGGGAGTACTGGGACACATGCTGTCTGGGAAGAGCCTGGACTTGCTGCTGGCTGCTGCTGCCGCCACTGGGAAGCTTAAATCCTTTGCCCGAAAATTCATCAAGTGAGGAGAGCTGTGCCCTCATGTGGAATGGGAGGGTGTTTGAAGGGAGGGGGTGCCTGGGGATCTGGCTCTCTTGAGGTATACAGGCCGGGGCAAAGCATTCTAACTAGAAACCATGACAGAAGGTTCATTTGACTCAGAGAGCTCTTTAGCCGGGGATGAAATAAAGATGGCTGATACGATAATGAGGCATCGGATTGAAGAGATGGCTCAGTGGTTAAGAGCACTGGCTGGGACCTTGGTTCAGTTTGCAGAACCCACATGACAGTTCACAACTGCCTGTTGAATCTAGTTTTGGGATCCAGCACCCTCTTTTGGCCTCAGCAGGATCCTTTTTTGTTTTGTTTTGTTTCCAAGACAGGGTTTCTCTGTGTATCCCTGGCTGCCTGGAACTCACTCTGTAGACCAGGCTGGCCTCAAACTCACAGAGATCTCCCCCGCTCTGACTCCCAAGTGCTGGGATTAAAGGCGTGTGCTACCACTACCCAGCTAATACAGGGTTCTTAAATTCTGTTGTTTTGCAGGGGGTTACCTAGAGTTTGACAAGTGGAACATGGTTCCATTTTGGGAGTCTTATAAATCTTTTGCAGCGGTGTCTCAATGTGTAGCCCAGACTGCCCTCAAGCGCTCCATGTCTTAGTCCCTTCTGTGCTGGGAGCGTAGATGTGAGCCACCATATTCTTCTGTAATTGTAACACTTTTTGATTTAGCCTATAGTTCAGACTCTAGTCACCCCCACTCCTGTCACTCGCTCTTGTCCTGGGTAACGCCACCTGTTTGTGTTTCTCCCGCAGTCTGAATGAGTTCACTACCCATGGCAGCGGAGAGAGCAGTAAGTTTGCGTGCCTCTGCAGATCTCGTCTGCACTGAGGTGGGGAGGGCGGGAAGGGCCACCTTTGCTCATCCAGAGAGAGGGGTAACACTGCCAAAGCCACCCCACCTCTCTCCACCTGTACCATCTCAGATGGGTTTGGGTTCTGGAAATTTTGAACTCCAAGGAAGGGATGATGTTCTCAGTAAAACCCAAGAAAAGGATTCTGAGCCTCAGAGCTTTGAAGGACCCACTTGGTCTCTGACCTTCCTCCGGGAAATCCTGAGCTGTGGTGTAGCCTCCATGCCTGCCTGCTATGCACGAGGCCTTCTGTCCCCAGCACCTCCTCATCTGGACAGGGCTTGGGGCCCCTGCCCCGGGCTGAGAGGTTGGTGTTCTTGCCTTTCCCACAGCAAAAACAGCTTCTGTTCGTGCCTTGCTCTTTGACATCTCCTTCCTCATGCTGTGCCACGTGGCCCAGACCTATGGCTCAGAGGTGAGTGAGATGAGAGCTGGTGCCATTAAGAGTCACCACCTGAGTGGGACAAAGAGGAGGGAAATGGTCAGTAACTCCCTTACGTTACCCTTGCCTCCATTGATCTCCCAAGCCAGCAGGTGCCTCCTACGTCAGTGGGTATCCAGCATCCCAAGTCCTCTGGTGACACATTCATACTGACCACTAGGTGGCAGCACAACTCCCTGTCTGCCTCCCCGGACAGATTTGTCCTTGGAAAAGGGAAAGGCAATGGAGGAGGATACTGGGGCCCAGTCCCTGGCTCAACTCTGGCAGGAGCCACGCCCTCCTCTCTCAGCCAGTGCCTCTCTGTCTTATCCAGGTGATTCTCTCCGAAGCAAGCTCAGGAGAAGAAGTCCCCTTCTTTGAGACCTGGATGCAGACTTGCATGCCTGAGGAGGGCAAGATTTTGAATCCAGATCACCCTTGTTTCCGACCGGACTCCACCAAAGTAGAGTCCTTGGTGGCCTTGCTCAACAACTCCTCAGAGATGAAGCTAGTGTTAGTGACCTAGGGCTGACCTCAGGGTAGTAAGGGGGGCATTCCAAAACCCTCTCCCTACATCCTGTCTCCAGCTCCCTTGTAGTGATGTTCATCCTACCCCACCCTCTCTGTAGACAGATGAAATGGCATGAAGCCTGCCTGAGCATTTCCGCGGCCATTTTGGAGATCCTCAATGCCTGGGAGAATGGGGTTCTGGCCTTTGAGTCCATTCAGGTAGCTTCACCTTTACTTGAGCTTCTCTTGCCTGAGACATAGGGCCAGTCATTGAGAGCTTGTTATTTTGCATGCAAATCAATCCTCAAGCCGGAGATCGTGTTTTGGTATTAGTCTTAGAATCCTTGTCTTAGCCACTTCCTTCTTCCCGGTTATCTTTTAGAAAATCAAATTTGTGTTGCAGAGGTATGGAATGTACCTTGAGATTTTACATGTGATCCCCAGCCACCCCTAGAGGCCTTGGGAGTGATGGCCAGGGGGAGGCAGAGCGTCCCTCAGTCATTCTCCTGCTCCCCACAGAAAATCACCGATAATATCAAGGGAAAGGTATGCAGTCTTGCGGTGTGTGCTGTGGCTTGGCTTGTGGCCCATGTCCGGATGCTGGGGCTGGATGAGCGTGAGAAGTCGCTCCAGATGATCCGCCAGTTGGCAGGGCCACTGTACAGTGAGAACACCCTGCAGTTCTACAATGAGAGGTCAGTACCTGCCCCGCCCTTCCCGGCCCCTGCAGGTGTGTCGTGAGGAGTCAGCACCTCCAGGGTTGCGCATCCCACTCCGGTGCTGTCAGCCTTTACCTTCCCAAGGTAGCAACTCACCAAGCCACTTCCGTCGGCTTCTGCCCAGCCCACCTTCTTAGCAGCTGAGCTGGTGCACATTCAGGGTAGTTGGACTGCCACTCACTTTTCCCCTGTCCCCACCACTTCCTCCCATTCTTACCCATGCATGTAGTCATTCGCCTGGCTCAGCAGATTTTTGGTGTGCGTCTCTGCATCGGGAGTGTTTTAATCCTGTACCTCCCTGTGTGGGAAATACAGACCCCAGGCTGCTTGACGTCTGTCCTCAGTGACTCCAAGTTCCAGGAAACTAAGCTGAGGTGGAAGAGCAAAGGGCTTAGGTGGCTGTGTCACTGTCGAGGAACTCTGAGCCATCTGCAGTTTTATAGCTGCCCTCCCCCATCCCCAGCTGTCCTGGTGACCATGTCGAGTACTGGCTCTTGAGGGACTTCCGCCTCTCCGAGTTCAGCTGGATCATTCACTCCACTGTTAAGTTGTTTGGCTGTTGGTTTTTAAATGTGGCAAGAAGCACGTAATAGAAAACTTACCCTTTCAGCTGTGTTTATGTGTGTCGTTCAGTGTATGGGATCTGCTGGAATTGTGAAATAGACCTCCAGACGTTTTTCATTTTGTATATCTGGGCCTTTTACCCAGTAAGCATTGTCCAACCCCCTTCTCTCAGTCTCTCTGAGTTTGTCTACACTAGATACTTCATCATACTAGAATTACATAATACCTGCCTTCTCATGACTTTACTCAGCGTACTTTCCTCAAAATCATTCATATTCTACCATGAGGCAGGATTTCCTGCCTCCCCTTTTTTGGTGGCGGGGGAGGAGGGGGTGTGGGTGAGGATGAATTTTTTGAGACAGGGTTTCTCTATGTAGCCCTGGCTGTCCTAGAGCTTGTTCTGTAGACAAGGCTGACCCTAAACTCAGAGATCTGAGGCTGAGTGACATTGAATGTGTGTGTCCCTCCTGGTCACCCTTCTGCACTCAAGGGGCACTCAGGGAGCACCGCTCTGAGTGTGGTGCTGAGACAACTCACAGGTAGCTGCTTGGATGGTTTCTGAGCAACATGTGGAAGGAAACACAGTTGAAACCAGGTTTGGGGAGGGCCTGTAAGGTCACATCTCCCCTTGCCTGTGGAACATTGGCTTTGACATCATCCATCTCAAGCGTGTATATGCGTATGCACATGTACACACACACACACACACATGCACGCAGGCATGCACGCACGCACGCACGCATCCATGCACATATGCAGTGGAATCCGGGCTCTCTTATGCAGGTGGCAGAGGGCTCTAGTAGCTTCAGTGTCCCTTCGCGCCAGACAGCCCAGACCCCCGCCACCCTCATAGCCGCAGATGTTCCTCGGCATTTTCCTGGCTATGAACACTTTGCCCCGCTACCCAGGGCCGGGAAAAGTTCTGGGGACGGCCCAAGGGCTCCTCCTGGAAGTTACAGTTTACTTTGGGAGGAGGCCAAGGCTGGGCGGGACCCCTGCCCTCAAGTACTCAGCTCAGGGGGAAGTGATTGTACTTATTTATGACTCTGATTTGGCAGAGCTCAGGCCTGGGGGTTGGGAGAAGTTGGAAGGGGAGAGGGAGGAACAGAAAATCTGAATAGATCAATGGAACCTGTAAGAGAAGAAAATCCCTGCCCTTTGCCTCTTTTAGGCTTCATGCCCAGCAGGTAAGTTCCCCGTCAGTAGTAGGTTATATCGTCATGTCTTCCCCTGGTGTTAGTGGGTCTAATTCCTCAGCCATGTTTCCGTAACCTAATTCTGGGGGTAATGCCTGCATGAATCCTCCTTGCCCCCCAGGGTGGTGATTATGAACTCAATCTTGGAACACATGTGTGCGGACGTGCTTCAGCAGACAGCCACACAGATCAAGTTTCCATCCACGGGTGTGGACACGATGCCCTACTGGAACCTGCTTCCTCCCAAGCGCCCTATCAAGGAGGTACTGACGGACATCTTTGCCAAGGTACTGGAGAGAGGCTGGGTGGACAGCCGCTCCATCCACATTCTCGACACCCTGCTGCACATGGGCGGCGTCTACTGGTTCTGCAACAACCTCATCAAGGTACTTGGATGAGGACAGCTGTGTAGACTGGGGCTGTGGATGTCTGCGGGTGGGAGAGGCCAGGCTTCTTGGAGAGGTTGCTGGAAGCTGGGTTGTCCCTTGGGGAGACAGAGGTAGGGGCCTCATTTCAGAGAAGCACCTTCAAGTTGGGGTTGATAGCAGCTTTGGCTGTAGAGATGACCAAAGTATGAGAACCCTAGGGTTCAGGTGTGCAGTACCTCAGCCGCTGCTTGCCCACTGCTCAGGAGCTGCTGAAGGAGACTCGCAAGGAGCACACACTGAGGGCAGTACAGCTTCTGTACTCCATCTTCTGCCTGGACATGCAGCAAGTGACCCTGGTCCTGCTGGGCCACATCCTGCCCGGCCTGCTTACTGACTCCTCCAAGTGGCACAGCCTTATGGACCCTCCTGGCACTGCACTAGCCAAGTAGGATTCTCTCTAGAGCCTTCCTGGTGTTCCCCCCTTAAGCCAGGCATCTAGGACCCAGATCCAGGCACCCCAGCCCTGAAGCCCCCTCAGGAAGCTAGGCTGTGGTTGGCGCTGCCAGGCGGTGGTGGGAAGAGCCCGTTGAGCGTGAGCACGCACAGCTCTTTCGGGACCCTCTCAACGATGCTTTTTTTCTGAACCCCTTCCCCAGACTAGCTGTGTGGTGTGCCCTGAGTTCCTACTCCACCCACAAGGGACAGGCGTCCTCCCGCCAGAAGAAAAGGCACAGGGAAGACATTGAGGTAGGCCTGCTGCCTCGGTCATATTTTTATTCAGCAAACATTTTCTGATTATTTCTAGCCGAGAGCTGCCTTCCCAGGCAGAGGGTGGGGCTGAGGTCAGCGTGTTTGGTCAGGATCTGGGGGAGTGGCTTGAGTGGGCCCCTGAGTAGCCTTGATAAGGGTCCTTTCTGCACACTAGGGCAGAGATTGGGGTGTGGGAAGGGTCACCGCTGGGGTTGCCAATCAAGGACTAGGAAGCTCACTCCTCTCCACTCAGATCTGACTTCCAGCCCTCTCCAGTCCTTGGAGACTTGGGAGGTTGGGTGTGTGATAGTGATTCCCCACCCCTAGGACTACATCAGCCTCTTCCCCGTGGAAGACATGCAACCTTCGAAGCTTATGCGACTCCTGAGCTCCAACGAGGATGACGCCAACATTCTGTCGAGTCCCAGTGAGCACTTGGGAGGTCACGGGCTTTCTAGGACCCACTCTTCCCTAGGGACCTGCCTTGGTTTCCAGCTGGCGGCAGTCTTTGGCTGTCAGTGTGGTGTGGCAGGAGCTAGCAGCTCTGTCACCTAGTGGATGCTTTGGTGCCTACTGGTGGGGACAGGGTTGCCACTCTCCATAGGACCTGAAAGCTCTCCTTCAAGGCCCCTCCCAGTCCCACAGTTATCTCTCTCTTGTCACCAGCTAAAGGATGACAAGACACAGTGAGTTCTCTATCTTGACACAGCGTGTACCATTGACTCACTCACTCTGCCTTCCTTCTAACCCAGAGACATGCCCTGTGGCTGAGAACAGGCTCCACCAGGCTGTGACCTGGGGCTGCCCTCCCCCTTCCTACTCTCTGGGCAGAGGGCAGCCTTGTCATCCTTCCCTTGCTGGCAGAGTTCCTTCTGCCAAATCTTGTATGGCATCCATGTTTTCCTGTTTTCAGAGTTTTTCCTGAACCTAGAAGTTTCTCTTTAGCCTTTTAGGGACCAGGGAGCCAGCCACATGCTTGTGCAAAGGAAAGATGCTGATTGGTCACCTCCAACCTTAGCCAGGCCCTTAGCAAATAGATCGTGTATCTTTAAAATAAACTTTGAGTAGGATGGACAGCTTCAACCACACAGAGTACCAGGATTGGCCTCTAATGGTGCTCAGCAGGGCTACCCTCCCCATCTATTCTCCAGATTCAGGGCCTGCTGTGCCCCACATGTGCCAGCCTCCCTGATGGCCGGGGACAGGAAAGGTTCCCCTAGAACCAGACCTTACGCAGCCCCTCTCTGCTCTCTGCCTCTCCACAGCTGACCGCTCCATGAATAGCTCCCTCTCAGCTTCCCAGCTCCACACAGTCAACATGAGGGACCCTCTAAACCGAGTCCTGGGTAAGTCCTGCCAGCTGCACTACCTGCAGACTGAGCTAGAAGGAACCCTCTCGTCAGAGGCAGGGAGGCATCTACCAGAGGGTTCCTCTGGGCCCCTGATAGCCTGCTCCATTTCCACATGCCTCCTGCTCCCTCACTGCTGACTGCCCCATTTCCTCCGTCTTCCGCTGTGCCTGCTGCCCTTAGCCTTCCTATGTGAGCTCTTACTACCCCTTCCCCTCCTTGGTCCCCTTCTTCCTCATCTGACTTGTTCTAGAACTCAGCTATCTTGTTTCCCTCTGCACAGCCAACCTGTTCCTGCTTATTTCCTCCATCCTGGGCTCACGCACGGCTGGCCCCCACACCCAGTTTGTGCAGTGGTTCATGGAGGAGTGTGTGGACTGCCTGGAACAGGACAGCAGGGGCAGCATTCTGCAGTTCATGCCCTTCACTACTGTGAGTGTCCCATGGGGGAGCTGGGGTAACCTCAGAGGAGGGAGGGAGGACTTTCTCCTGGGAGGTCACACCCAGGAGCTACCTGTGTTCATCTTTTGTGGCAGGTATCAGAACTGGTAAAGGTGTCTGCCATGTCCAGCCCCAAGGTAGTACTGGCCATCACAGACCTCAGCCTGCCCCTGGGTCGGCAAGTGGCTGCCAAAGCTATCGCTGCCCTCTGAGGAGCTTGGAGTGGCCTGGAGGGCTCTCAGCCCCAGCAACCCAGCAGGGAGAGTGAGGATGAGCCCAGGCTGCCCCATCCAGTGATGCAAGGATGCTTTCTCAGTCTGGAGTCCTCTGCGATTCTTGCCCTCTACTCACCGTGTCCTACCACATCTCCCAGTTCCTTCCGTGATTTTCTGTCCTTTCGACCAGTACTCAAAGACTGTGAGCAGTCCTGATGATCCCCCCAATTCTTTGTTTGTTTGCTTTTTTTGTCTTTTGTTTTTGTTTTTGTTTTGTTTTGTTGTTTTTTTTGAGACGGGTTCTCTATGTAGTAACTCTGGCTGTCCTGGAACTCCCTCTATAGACCAGGCTGGCCTCGAACTCACAGAGCTCTGACTGCCTCTGCCTCCTGAGTCCTGGGATTAAAGGCGTGCGCCACCACCGCTCAGCTGGTTGCACCAATTCTAGCAGTAGCTGAACTCCAAGGAGGGACTTTGTAGGGCCACAGTGTGTATATAAATTTATTTTTATAACTCATGAGGGGGAGTCCCTCTTGGTTCATTTGTAAATAAAGATCCTTGTGGCTCCTGTGACTATTGAGTGCTATTGGCAGGTTTAATGCCTGGGTGGGGACAGTTCTTTTCCCTGCAGTCTCTTGTGCTGTGGCTAGGGAGGGGCACAGTCCTGTGGTGGGAGGGAGAAGGCATGGAAGGCCAGGCATTGCCCACAGGCTCCACTGGAATGATGAGGGGTTCGCAGCCTTTCCCACTGAAAGCGGGAAGTTGTGCTGAAGGGCCCTGCGCTGTGCTGTGCGGGGCAGGATGTTTCCTCCGCAGTCACACTCCACCCTCTGGCTCAGAGTTCACTGCGTGTTCCTTCCAGAAGATTGGTGTAGGGATGTGAGTCCAGGGACATGGACCTGTGAGGCTGTGGGAGGGGACGGTGCTGGGGCTTTGAGGAGCCAGTGATGTGGAGGGTTCTGGAGGGCTGCAGAGGAAGGTGCCTGGGTCGGCCTGGTTGGGGAGCCCCACGCACAGGGGAGCCTGCAGCTGACCTTTAACTACAAGTGTGCTCTTCCAGACACCCCACCCTTCCAGACCTCTTCAGCTCAGGAGCTGAGCCAAGTAGGGAAGTGCTCCAAGGGATGATAGCAAGGGGACAGAGCTCATTGAGAGAAAGCCAGCGCAGAATTGGAGTTCTGACCCAGCTTTCTGCCTGTAAAAGGCATGGTGTCATTCTCGTGGGCAGACAGCTTTGTGGAGAGCTCTTCATAGCGGTGAAGGGACATCGTGTGCACGTGTTCAGTGTTCCCTAGCTGCAGCTGATCTGTCCCCATCCCCACGCCCCCTCCCTCCCGCTGTCTTATGATCCATCTTCCCCAAGAAGCTGTGACTTCCAAGGCAAGTGTGCATTTTCACTATTGTGTTCCTGTCACTTAGCTCAGGACGTACAGAGTGGCACCCAGACCGGTCAGGGTGAGCCAATGCGTCTGTCTTCCCAGCCCGGTCCTCTCCTGCCATCCACCAGCCCCTGGACAGGCATCAGCCAAACCCAAGAAGGAAGAAGGACGTTTACTGGATACAGACACTTTATTCCTCAAGCTTGGTTACAGTAAGCAAGTGGGGCCTACAGGGAGTTTAGACAGGTAGGCTTCCCTGCCTTACCCTCCCCGCGGGTTCCTCCTGCCTTTTCTCTCTTACCCGCCCCCCTCCCCAGTCCAGGAAGGCCCTAACAAAGAATCCAGTAAATTCCAGGGCCAAACCTGGCTGCTTCTGCCGCTTTGGGGACAGGGAAAGTGCGATGTGGTTGAGCAAAGCAAGGGATACAAAAACCCAGTTTGGGAACACTTCTGTTTAAATATTAAACAGGGTTGTCTTGTCTCCCAAAAGGGAGACCTCCTGGTGCTGCCGGGGCCCCTGAGACAGGGGTGGTGGGGCTCACTGCGGCTCTTGTGTACCGCCACAGACTGGGTGCCTGGAGCAGCCTCAGGAATCAATACTTGGTATTTACCTATCTCCTCCAGCCCTGGGGGCCAGAGGACTCAAGAGCTTCTCCTCTCTGTTGCAAGCAGGAGAACAAAACTCAGGAGTGGAGAGAAGAGCCTAGAAGCTTGGTGCTCCATTTTCTCTTCTCCATCTTTAAATAGTAGGTTTAAATAAGCATAAATATTAAATAGATAAATAAGATAGCTGGAAAGGGCTTTGCTCAGGGCTGGACCAGGTGCTTCAGAGCACAGTGAGCTGTCTCCAAGAATCTCTGCAGGTGGGAAGTGGCGAGGACACCTCCCGCCCGGCGCTGGAAGGCAGAGGTGAAGGTGGGCATGGCGCCCTGAGTGGGCTGCACCGTAGGGGCCACCCCCAGGCTTTCCATCTGCAGGGAGGAGAAAATGAAGTCGGGGATCAGTCCTTACTGCTGGCAGCGGAGTGCTGGAAGTTAGTGAGCTGCCCTGTGGGGCTCACTCTTCACATGGACGGTAAGAGCCAAGGCTCTAACCCCATCTGCATCCTCTTCTCAACCTGAAGGAATGGAGGGGGGACTCCCCATACACAGGCCTCCAGGGTGCCCAGGTAAGCTGGTGTGACCCATCCTTACTCTTACTCCTTCCCGCTCCAGGTGGAGCTCACCTGCTGCCAGATGGTGGTGGCAAAGTTGGCAACATCCAGCTGCAGCGCGTCCAAGGTGGGAGCCAACTCGGGAGAAATGCCTGCCAGGGCCTGAAGGAGGCCTTGGTAGAGGAAGAGTCCTCCATGGAGCTGGCTCAGGCACTTTGTCTGGGGACAGTAGGAGGGTTAGGCAGAATGCAGTGAGACACCCCTTCTTTTCAGGAGCCCAAATACCAGGGTGTGGTCCCTTCTCATCCTCCTGGTCCCCGTTCTCCTCCAAATACTCACCAGCTGCTGAGCCTGGCTGGAGCAGCGGCTCAGAGAGGCCTGCGGGATACCCAGCGAGTGGCCGAGCAGCACCAGCTCCTCCGGGTGGCACAGTTTGTAGGTAGCACACTGTGAATAGATGGGTACTGAGGGGCACTGGGCTTCTCAGCTCCATGTCGTCCCAGTGACCCTAAGTACTGCTCCACTGCTGCCTCTCATTTTCTCCCAAGTCCCCTTCATGTCCCATGTACCCTTGCTTGGTGTTTTGTCAGTATTCTGGGTGTGGAATCCAGGCCCTTGTGCACACTAGGCAAACGCTGCCGCTGCGTCCCCCTAGCCTGCTCCCTTCCCTTTTGCCCTCCTGTGCCCCTCCTTGCAGGCCTCCACACACACACCACTCACCAACTGCTCCAGCAGCACCGAGTTTCCAGCCTGAATCTTCCTCACTTGCTCCAAGGACTTAAGTAGGAAGCTCCGGGGCAAAGGCAGGGGTGGTGGCAGAGAGGTGACAGAGACTAGCGGAGCGGCCTCTTGTCCTGCCCAGAGTACACTGTGCCACAGCAGCAGCTGTAGGGCTGGCAGCAGACAGACAGGTTTGAGACACTTGGCCCCTCCAGCCCTCCCTCCTCTCCACGCCCAGGGCAGGTAATCAGGGCCACTCACCCATCAGTTTCCTGCAGCTCTGGGCAGAAAGCTGAGCCATGGGTTCTGGGTGCTGTGGGCTCAGCTCTGGGTTCTGCCAGGGCCTAGCTCCAGGGGGCCTTTATACAAACCCCATCAAGGCCTGGGAGGAAATTACCTGGGGCTGGGGCAGTCAGGCTTAGTAATAACTTCCCAGGATTTATGCAAATTTTCTTCTGTCGCTCAGGACAATGCAGGGGGTTGGGAAAAGCTTTTGCGAAAGTTTTGTGAAATCGGGGAATCTCTGCTCCTTCCTTGACGTCTTGTCCCCCTCAAACTCTTCCTCCAGCCACACCCAGGCCTGAATTGCTCCAGGGTGTTTGGTCAGAAGTGCTGGCGAAGCCCTGGGGGCTACAGAGGGAACTCAGCCAGACCTTGGGGAAGAATCAGGCCCCCAGGTCAAGATTGCTCCTATCTTTCTATCCTCTGCCAGATATGCCAGGGTTGCCCCCTCTGCCCTTTCTGTGATTCTTAAGATACCTATACCTGGGGCAAACACTCTGAGAGAGAAGGAAGAACCCATTGTTCTCTTTCCGTGCCCATAAGCTCCCCGGTGGCTGCCTCCTGCAGTGCCAGGAGCCCTGGACAGCACCCTGGGGTATTGTTTTCTGTGCCCACTCCACATATGGATAAAAAAACAAAGCAGTTCAGCATTCAGGCTGCTCTGTCCCAGGCTGATTAGCTGGGAACTCCCCAATACCCACCACTGTGACTCATCCCTTTAAGCCCCTGGATCCCGGCAGAGAGGCCAGAGGAAACCGGATGTCTGTCCTGAATGAATCAAGACCTTTTGGGGTGCTTTGCTCACCTGACCTTGGCTTTCTGTTTCCCTGCGTAGCTCTCCTGGCATATTACCCCACTGTAGCAGAGTCGGGGAGGGGGGGGTCTGGAGTCGGGTTAGGACACTCAAGGTCCCGATGATCTCTACCCCACAATCAAGTGGATGCAGGCTGGGGCGAGAAAAGAGAAACTACATCTCCAATCCTAGAACTCTGTCCAGTGATGTTTCTGGAGAGACCTTGGGTTTTCAATGCTGTGAACTGAGCCAGAGGGAAAAGCCCTGTCCAGTCACGAGTAGTAGAATTGGAAGGACATCCCAATCTCTGTTTCAATCCCCACAGGGTTTTACTGGCTAAAGAGGAGGAGGGGCATGCTTGTCTGATTGACCTCATCGCAAGTTGTCTCGTTCTGAGCCATTTCACTCCCACCTTTTGGGTCAAGGAACCAGACATCATCTGATGCTGAAGCCTAGCTGACTGGACAGGAACATTCCTGCAGCGAGGGTGCCCTCTGGTGGCCACATGCGTCCCAGGGGCCACCTATCTTTGCTGGGGAAGAGCACAGCAGGAGATTCCCTTTCAAGACGGTTTCTCTGTGTAGCCCTGGCCATCCTGGAACTTGGTCTGTAGACCAGTTTGGTCTCAAACTCAGAGATCCACCTGCCTCTGCCTCCCGAGTGCTGAGATTAAAGGTGTGTGCTACCGCTGCCCGACCTGAGATTCCTTTTCTTTTAACATGCTGACTGGCAACAACTGGCTACCTCATTTGTCAGAAACTCTTCATTGTGTATAGGTCAGTGGTTCTCAGCCTGTGGATTGCAACCCAGGGGTCGCATTTCAGATATCCTACATATCAGATACTTACATTACAATTCATAGCAACAGCAAAATTACAATTACAAAGTAGCAATGACATTTTATGGTTGGGGGTCACCACAATAGGAGGAAGTTGTTACTGCTGCTGGTTGCTAGCCAGACCTCAGTGGTAAGACTATCCCTGAAGACATCACAGGCTCTGGTCGCAAGACACCGAAAAACTGGAACTGACCTCCCTCTTCTGACCTCCTTCCTCTGAAGGAGCTGTGCAGGCTGCTGAGAGAACTGCCATCCCCTGCCTTTCTCAGCTGGGATCTGTGCATGTTGCACTATTGCCTGGCTAGGTAAAATGTGGACCCAGGGCCTCTGGCATGCAGTAGCGTCAAGTCTAGAAGAGCGAACAGTGACTTCCCGATTGGGTTTGAGGCTGGCTGCACAGGAGGGAATCCACCCTGTGCTGTAATCAGGGTTAGTGTCTATAGCTGGGAAGTCATCGAACCCAGCAGGGAAGGTACTGCTTTTGTTTTGGAAAATAGACATGTTTGTCTAGTTGTCATCCAAATAGTGATTTTTTGTTTTTGTTTTTCAAGACAAGGTTTCTCTATGTTGCTTTGGAGCCTGTCCTGGAACTCACTCTGTAGACTAGGTGGCCTCAAACTCACAGAGATCTGCCTGCTTCTGCCTCCTGAGATTAAAGCCTTCCCCACCACCACCTGGCTCCAAATAGTGATTTTTATGCCCATAGATAGTCAACTTCGGTCAGACAAGCTTCTTTTTATAGGGGGTTTTGATAATTTGTCATAACTGGTCAAAGTGCTGAGAATAAGTGATTGCTGGATCCTCGGCCATTAGTGAGACAACCGTCACCTACTCAAGGCCCGGGGACCATTGTGGAAGAGGGCAGAAAAAATGCAGAACTGGGGGCTTGAGAGATGGTTCAGTGGTTAGGAACTGACTGCTGTCTCAGAGGACCCAGGTTCAACTCCCAGCACTCACGTGGTAGCTCATCACTGCCATTACTCAAGCTCCAAGAGTTCCGGCACCTTCACACAGATACACATGCGGGCAAAACACCTATGCACATAAAAAATAACAAATGATTAAAAAGAAAAAGGAATGCAGAATTTGAGGAAGGGGCTGTGCTGTGGAACATTCTTCTGAAAAGGACACAGCCATGGCACTCCAGCTTACAACTTTTTTTTTCTATTTATTTTATAAATTATATATATAGAGAGACTATAGACTATTCAAAGCACGAACTATTTGGGCACAAGGACAAGATAAGATCATCTGGAAAGACAGAGTGGGGAGCTAGAGGGAGTCCTATCTCGTATATGCAGCTTCAGACATTTTATGACACCAAGGTAGCATTAACTAGAAACCTGTAGCAAATCTGGGTCACTGTGACCAGGGTTGGGCTGGGATCAGGAACCAAAGCAAACACTCATTCATTTTGAGTGAATTGTGTTGCTGGTGAGGTGTGTCAGTGTGTATTCTGCAACAAACAATACTTTAATTAGCCCAAACGTCATGCCAGGTATTTGGGTGGCCTCTGAGGCTAGAAGCCCATCCCTCAAGGAGATTGATTACAGACAGGCTGGCAAGAGAAAGTTTTCCTACCAACCACTCTGTCAGAAAACGTGACTAAGTGACCCTGAGCACGCAAGCCGGAAAGTGGTTCTGGAAAGCCAGAGGCAGAACGCCATGCCACGTCCCAGGCATCGAGAGCTCAGCAGGGACAAAGGGATATGTGCGGTGACCCAGGGACACATGCCTAACCACACTGACCCAGTGGGGGCATTGCCATTAGTCCTGGAACACAACAACAGGTGTATGTCCCCGGCCATGTGCAGCCGGGGTTGGCTGGGGAGCTGAGGTGCCCCTTCCTGTTTTCAGTGAGCAGCCTTTCTTCCACTCCACGGGGGCCGTTGGGCAAAACTGTTCCCACCCTGTCCGGCTTCGCTCTCCTGGGCACACAAGGCCAGCTGCTCATTCTTTCTCGACCTTTTTCTGAGACAGGGTCTTATATAGTCAAGAGTTTGCTCTCGAACCTGACCTAGGGCTGGGTTACAGGTGTGCACCACCATGCCTGGTTTGAGCTAAGAATCAAACCTGGAGATTCCCTGCAAGTTGGCAAGCCCTCTGCCAACTGACTTCCATCTCTCGTTCGACCCTTGAGCACTTGGAAGTTTAGGTCCCTGATTTGAAGAGCCAGGAGGCCAGTCTAGTCCTTTATTTGATGACAGGGCAGAGATGCCTAGGACACCCAACATTTGAGAGCCCCAAATTTGGGCCTCCTAGCCTCAGTTCACCTCACTGTGTCAACACTAAAATCGAACAAGTACAAGGAGCTTTGGAGAAGTTTTTATTGTTTAAAAATCATAATTGAAGCTTCAAAAACATACAACCCAACATGTCCCAACTCCAGACCCTAGTCCACACCCTAATCCGCGGTTCTGTCGTCCCCTCCTGCTGCCTACACCACCATTAGGCAGGACTCTGCTCCAGGAGACTGCCACCTGTTCTCCTGCCCAGCTTATTGTCACCAGCTACAGAGAGGCATGGTACCAAGAGGGGGATAGTTGGCTCCCAGCATCTCTGACCCCTGCACATATGCAGTCTGTGAGCTGTGTGTGGGAAAAGGAGGCCAGGTTCCCGGGCAGGGGACCCCTGAGTGAAAAGACGAAAGCCAGTCTCCACTCAGCCCACCCCTCCCCAAGCCCTGCTTCAAGGGAAGCTGTCGTCATCATCTTCCGCCATCTCCTTGGCAAACTCCAAGTCCTGCTGCTCTCGCTCACGCCGTTCCTGTGGGGAGAGGGGCTGCTGGCTTCACCCAAGGGAGGGGCTGCCCTGCCCTCCAAATCCTTCCCTGCTTCCCTTTGAAAAGGTCCACCCTTCTTCCTTCTTGCTCACCTCTGCCGACTCCAGGTCCTTGTTGTAGGATTTGGGAGGAAACCGCATGGCCTGAAAACAGCAGGTGGAGAGAGAAGCAGGAATCACTGGCATGCCCTTTGCCTGCTTCAGACACCAACGTCTGTAACACGGTGGGCCATGGCCACCCTCCTGTCCAGGTGGGAAGTTATCTATGCACACATGCACGGAATGTATGTATGTATGTATGTATGTATCTCTCTCTCTCTCTAAAGGCTGGCTGGCCTCAACCTCAGAGATCCACCTGCCTCTACCTCTTGTGTGCTGAGACTAAAGGCGTGCACCAACACACCAGTTTAGAACTGAATTCTACCAGATGTTAAAGGTGAGGCATAAAGAGCTAGGTCACAAAGGGCTTCCCACATCTGCACAGCACACTTTGTTATATTTGAAGGGTGACAGCAACACCCTGGTTCCTGAGTGAGGAGGAAGACCAGGCCAGAACAGCAACAAACTCAGTGTCTAGGTACAGAAGGGGTTAGAGCCTTCCATGGAACTAAATGCCACCCCATGGTTTATACAGGTGAGCCTGGTGCTCCACGGTGTGCAGTGACAGTCTCAGTAATCAATCCCCAAAGAAGGCTGGCCAGGCAGCAATTCACCATGTTTCACAGGCAGAGGCAGGGACTCAGAGAGGAGGTTCCTGGGACCCTGCCTGCTCCTCCGTGGTGACATCCTTTACAATGCTACAGGAGAAGGCACTAGAGTCCTCGTGGCAGGGGCTATGGAGCCTTGCCCGAGTCCTTTGTCCTACAGTCCTGCTGCACGTCAGTGATTTTTAGACATGGGCTAGGAACTGGGTACTACTCAAGTACTAGGCTTCCCTGAGGATTCTGGGGGAGGGAGGGTCATAAATGCCAGCTAGCCCAGTCAGTAGCCAAGGGCAGCTCACCTTGACAGACATGTTGTGGATGTCCAGGCAGAAGGAGATGCGCTGGTGGAAGGCTAGCTGGGGTTCCCGGGTAGAGTAGATATCAGTCATCTCTTTGGATTGAACATAGCCCTTCTCGTGATTGATGCTGGCCTCGATCACACCGTCCCGGATGGCCTGCGGGCTCCCAGAGGGAGGAAAAGTCACCTCCTGCTAGGTCACCTCTGGCGCTGTTCTAGTCCTCTATCCTAACACTCAAACCCAGACTCATTCTCTTCCTGGCAACCTCCTGGCTTTGCTATAGTTACTAGCATTTCCTGATGAGACTGGGTTACTGCCATACCTTCTGGCGAATTCCCTTCTACTCCTACCCCCTATATAAGAGGCAGGAAGGCACATCCCACCTTGGCGACAATGAACTCTGCATCTTCTGGACTATCCAGCTGCAGCTTCTGGGCAATGTCCGCCAGGGAGATACGGGAATAAGAGAGGCTGATCATGCGCACACCTGCAGGAGGAGCAATGGATGGGCAGGTGGCACGATGGGTCACCACCCACCTACCCACGAGGTTGCCCATGCTGGGAAGAAAGTCCATCTGCATCTGTTCAGACCCAAAGCCACACCTGTCTTAATCACATTGTGTCGCAGTCGGATAATTAGGGTATAGGTCCCATCTGTTTGAAACTTCTCTCCAAACTGATCCAGGACTTGGTTGAACTTGGCAAGATTTCCTGTCCTAACAGCTGTGAGGAGACAGGAGCACCTTAGTTGATGTAAATGGGCACACACACCAGGCCGCAGGGCAGGGCTCTGGGAGAGGGCAGCCTTACCTTGGGTGAGAAGGAAGTAGGGCATGAGAGAGCGCTTGAGGGAGGGCTGGCGGAACTGCAGGCGGTCTGGGATCTCCCCCAGCAGGAGCTCCACCACAATCAGAAGCTTGTGCACCTGCGAGGGGTGTAACAGGGAACTCAGTGGGCAGGGAGCGTGTAGATGGGAAAATGAACGGGGCTCTGATCTCATCAGACACACCGAAGCAGAGAAGGCAGAACTGTGATGCACACAGTCAGGTGGGCAGAGAGACGTACATACACATAAGCTAACTTAAAAGGGAGAGAGACGCAGATGGCTCAACAGTTAAGCGTATCTGCTGCTCTGCTCTGGCAGAGGACAGGAGTCTGGTTCCCAGCACCCACATGGTGGCTCACTACTGTCTCCAGCTCCAGAGGATCTGATGCCTTCTTTGGGCTCTGTGGGAACTCATAAACACACAGCACACACTGATAGACACCACACACACATTTAAATAAGTAAAAATAAATCTTAAAGAAAATAAGGGCCAGGTGTGGTATTAATCCCAGCAGAGGCAGGTGGGTCTCTGTGAATTTGAGGCCAGCCTGGTCTACGTAGTGAGTTCTAGGACAGCCAGGGCTGTGTAGAGACTCTCTCTCACCATACACACAACAAACAAACAACCCACAAAGAGGGTGAGAGGGAAGCAGAGGTTAGAATGGCAGGCACAGTGTGGCGCTAGGATGCAGCCAGGCATGAAGCAGACCACACGCTGAGGCCACCAGGAGCCTCTAGAGTCTCCTCAGGGCTCCCAGAAAGGAGTCCATCCCATCCGTGCTTTGATGTTAGTCTAGTAAGACCTCCTGTTCGGCTTTAAACTTCATAAGTGGAAGGGGAACAAATTTATGTTTGCCTTTTCAAAAAGGCAGGGTTATACAGCTTGGGTGAGCCCTGTATTTGCTATAGAATTAGGAACAATACTCCTACCTCAACTTCCCAAGTGCTAGAATATGACATGCACCATGAAGCCTGGCCAATATACCTGCTTTGTCTTACTTTGTATCTATTCCTGGAAAATGTTCTAAAATGTATTCTGATCATATTCATCCCCCATTCCCTTCCCCTAATTCCTCTCAGATCTACTTCCAAAGTTTGTCTTTTAAGTTTTGGGTTTTTGCTTTGTTTTGTTTTGTTTTTTTGAGACAGGGTTTCACTGTTTAGCTTTGGCTGTCCTAGAACTAGCTCTGTAGACCAGGCTGGTCTCGATCTTATAGCGATCCACCTGCCTCTGCTTCCCAAGTGCTGGGATTAAAGGCGTGCACCAATAGCACCCAGTTATCTTGTAAGGTTTACGGTAGAGAATAAATAGCCTTTATCTACTCCTGAAGAAAACGAATGTCTCCCATTTACCAGTAGCAGCAGCACCCAACAGTTCAAATGCACACCCTGGGGCACAGTGACACCATCTT